AGGAAAGAGAGAGGGAGAGAGAACCTGGAGAGAAGTGGTGAGAAAGAGAGGGAAAGAGAGAACTTGGACAGGAGGAAAGAGAGAGGGAGAGAGAACCCAGAGAGGAGGAAAGACAGAGGGAGAGAGAACCCGGAGAGAAGGAAAGACAGAGGGGGAGAGAACCCGGAGAGAAGGAAAGACAGAGGGAAAGAGAACCTGGAGAGAAGGAAAGAGAGAGGGAGAGAGAATCCGGAGAGAAGGAAAGAGAGAGGGAGAGAGAACCTGGAGAGAAGGAAAGAGAGAGGGAGAGAGAACCTGGAGAGGAGGAAAGAGAGAGGGAGAGTGAACCTGGAGAGGAGGAAAGAGAAAGGGAGAGAGAGAGAGAGAATGCGGAGAGAAGGAAAGAGAAAGGGAGAGAGAATCCGGAGAGAAGGAAAGAGAGAGGGAGAGAGAACCTGGAGAGAAGGAAAGAGAGAGGGAGAGAGAATCCGGAGAGAAGGAAAGAGAGAAGGAGAGAGAACCTGGAGAGAAAGAGGGAGAGAGACCTGGAGAGAAGGAAAGAGAGAGGGAGAGAGAATCCAGAGAGAAGGAAAGACAGAGGGAGGGAGAACCTGGAGAGAAGGAATGAGAGCGGGAGAGAGAACCCGGAGAGAAGGAAAGACAAGAGGGAGAGAGAAGGAAAGACAGAGGGAGAGAGAACCCGGAGAGAAGGAAAGAGAGAGAATCAGGAGAGAAGGAAAGAGAGAGAATCAGGAGAGAAGGAAAGAGAGAGGGAGAGAGAACCCGGAGAGAAGGAAAGAGAGAGGGAGAGAGAACCTGGAGAGAAGTGGTGAGAAAGAGAGGGAAAGAGAGAACTTGGAGAGAAGAGAGAAACAGAAAGAGAGAGAACCCGGAGAGAAGGAAAGAGAGAGGGAGAGAGAAGCTGGAGAGAAGGAGGGAGAGAGAACCTGGAGAGGAGGAAAGAGAGAGGGAGAGAGAACCTGGAGAGGAGGAAAGAGAAAGGGAGAGAGAACCTGGAGAGGAGGAAAGAGAGAGGGAGAGAGAACCCGGAGAGGAGGAAAGACAGAGGGAGAGAGAACCCGGAGAGGAGGAAAGCGAGAGCGAGACAGAACCTGGAGAGAAGAAGGGAGAGAGAACCTGGAGAGAAGGAAGGAGAGAGGGAGAGAGAACCTGGAGAGGAGGAAAGAGAGAGGGAGAGAGAACCTGGAGAGGAGGAAAGAGAGAGGGAGAGAGAACCTGGAGAGGAGGAAGGAGAGAGCTAGAGAGAACCTGGAGAGGAGGAAAGAGAGAGGGAGAGAGAACCTGGAGAGGAGGAAAGAGAGGGGGAGAGAGAACCTGGAGAGAGGGAAAGAGAGAGAGATAGAACCTGGAGAGAAGAGGGAAACAGAAAGAGAGAGAACCTGGAGAG